ATTTTAGTGAATTGTGAGTATATTTAACCTAGAAGGTTATTATATTTTACAGATTTATTACCTAATCTACTTTTTGTCCGATTTATGTTTGATGGTGTGCTGCGGCCCAAAAACCGTTGGAAAACACTGGGGTAGTGTGTTAGTTAAAATACATTTTTATCAATCAGTAGTTTTATAGTTTTTGTGAAGTATAAAATACTTTACTAAATCGCAGTTATTCTGGTCCTGAGAGTCCAACACTGGCTGGACAGTAACCCAAGGGTAATTAGAAACCGTGAGTTGTACAGAGAACACAGTATGAAGTAGAAACAAGTGTGTTGAAGCAGCTCAATGCTTTAAACCTAAAACTGTATATGTGAGCTTAGAACCTGTCAGTTAAAAAAAAAAAAAAACCCAAATAACTGAGAGAAAGGGCTAGCAAAGCCTCAGCTGTGAAACATCCACACCACTACAAAGTGAAAGCTGAACTTAAAAGTAAGCAGGTGGACTTTAGGTTGAAAGTCTCTCTGCTTTTTACCACATTTTTGATGCATTTTTTGAAGTATATAGTTTCAGAAAGTTCTTGGTATTGGGTTTCAATGTAAGTAATTAGTTCAGTAATAATGATTTTGTATTTAATTTACTTTGTTTTCATCAGTCAGTTACAGATAATGAAAGTCAAGGTATTGAATATCTTCTTAGACATGGCATTCATGTCAGTGCACAATTTATTTTTGTGGTTGCAGTGCTGTGATCGTGTACTCGTCCTCAGATTACAACACTTTGTGAGTGTCTGCGGACTGTCGAGCTAAACGCTAAACCCACTCCAAGCACAATTTAAATTAAGTATGTGCCCACCAGACTGTGGGAATACCTAAAGTAGAGAAACATATCACTGTTGTTGGAGAAAATATTGCAGTAGTGAGAAGTTAGCGTTCCTGTGTGTGTGCAAGTGGCCATCCCATCTCTTAATCCAGGTTATGCGCTCCGCTCATTGTCGGTAATAACTCCAAAAGCAGGTCAGTATTTAAAAATACTTTGAAGGTAGTCTAGTCTAAGAACTACGTGATGCTCGCCATCTGGGTGGAAAATAAACATTTGACAAAAAGATTACTGAGCTGGATAAAAATGGCTTTCCTCCTCTCCAGCTTGTTCTCAATAAGTAGGACAGGCAGCTGCTCTGTAATGAAGTAGGAATATCAGCAGAAAAGAGTTCTGCTGAAATACATGGCCATCTGAAGGACCCTCCAGCCATGAGAAACAGACATTAAAGCACACCTTCAGAGTTAGAGCCAGAGTCTGTCACCCTGCATACAGTGTTAGCATTTTGTCTGTGCCTCCTCTTTTTTTTTTTTTTCTCCCCTGCACACTGGCTTCTCCCCACTGCCCATTACTGTACAGTCTGCCGGGTCTATTTCTGCACACTTCACTGACACCCAACCAGATTGGAGAGGCTCTCTCTGTGCTGTCTCCAGTTGTTGGCGTCGTAGGAGTCCAGCGGACCATGTGACCTGTCGTCACAGCTAGAGGACCGAACAGATGTGTTCTGGAGATATGTGCTTTTCTATGCAAACCCCGTCTCCAAAAAAAGTATTCATCTTTAACAATATTTTATTATAGTTATATGTTCTACTATAGTACTGCTACATAATAGTGACAATGTATTTTTTATAAAAAAATGTCTATGTTAAATTCCAGGCCTGACACAGCCCAGCATGGGACTGGGGTCGAGCTAGAATCAAACCTTTTGCATGGCAGATGTGCCGCTCTAGCCTGCAGTCAGGGGTCAGTGCCATGGCCTTACAGCAAGAAGATGACCCGGCAGTCTGTCAGTACCTGGATGAGGGTTGTGTATTTTCCCCATAGGTGCCTAAGTTTTCTCTGGGCATCCTTGTTTCCCCAAAACATTCAGGATTACAATGATTTAATTTAATATTAAATTAATAATAATTTTTAATAATTACGTCCATAGAAATTGGACTAAGAAATCAATCCATTTGCGACCACAATCCTTTCCCTTTTCTTAAATGTTGAAAACGGCAGTAACCCTGGGTCTTGGGTTCTATTTTGTACAGAGTAAAAATTGTGTGAATGTCGACCGCAGTCCAGGGGTTTGGAGGTCATTCACTGCTTGTTATTCCAGCCTTTAGTTGTGACACAGGGTTGCACTGATGCTCACGCTGTGGAAGATGCACTCGCTGTGTTTGAGTCATCACCTTTATATTTGGTTCCTCATCTGTGAGATAGTATTTGGTGGAGTATGACGCCTGGGATCATGACTGGACGGACTGAGGTTTTTTTTTATATATATATATATACTGTATATATATATATATATATATATATATGAAAATATGGTGAGGATGGTGTGTGTGGAGAGCTAACATAACCTTTAATGTCCTTTAAGCACATTTGGGTTGTAACATGTAGTTGAACCTCTGTGCACGGTATAAAGCTCTTAACTTTTTTTATGCTCCTAATAAGATTTTAAAGCTCTCGTAACGTTGTAATGACCCAGCAATTTGCCGGTGTTTTTGTTGTCATCAAGTGTTGCCTCCTCCTCACCGTGGAGGTGTACATCACCTATGACTAATGGCTAATTTTCCATTTTGCATATATTTAATTGTGACATGATTAAAAGCCCGCGGGGGGAACAGAATACAACGCAGTCTGCTTGTCCTCATTCGCCTCGGTCCCATCGCATTTTGCGCTTCACTGAATCCGTTACACCCTCCGTTTCTTTTGATGTTTTCAGATCCTATCTAAAGTCTTATCTCCTCAACCATGATTTTAAACGTGATTATTTTAGATGTTTTACACCAACAGGAAATTCCACTTGTTTTGTATTTTTTTTGTACACAAATTAATTTATACTCAACATTTTCTGTAGTACAGTTGCAGTCATGGAAATAAATATTTAATGAGCTATAATATAACGTGTATATGTATGTTTATACATATAAATAGAAATCAATCATAATATAGAGGACAGGGGCTTCAGGTGAGCTCCAAACTAAGGTTGTCCCAGTGTCTGGTACATGTATTGGAATAAATTGTCATACCAGTATTGCATCGTTGCGTCCGTACTTCAGGCCAAAGTGTTAGACTGGGATGTTTTTCACTCGACTCCTAAATAATAAATCGAGGAACTTCATGTGAACAGACACTTTAATCAGTTTGTCTGAGAAGCAACTGACTCCACTTGACGTTTCTTCTTGTTTCCTGACAGCAAACATATCAATATTCCCATGTAACAGACGCTGCAGCTTCTCTGTTTTCACCAGTCTTACAATGTGTGAAATTGAATCTCCACGCCTGCCAGTCTACTGGGTTGTCGAGCTAACTGCCCCCTCCCTATGAGGACAGATGCTTCATCGGTGTGCAGTTGTGCTTTGGGGTCAATGTTTTTTTAAGCAGTTTCACCTAAAGGATGTCTCAATGCCTTACGTAGTCGCCTTATTGACGGTTATGGTACGATTCCGAATTTGTAAGAACAAACGGGGAAAAATATCATTACGATGGTTTTTGATATATATATATATATGTATATATGTATGTGTATCTATATGTTTATGTATATGTATTTGTATATATGTATATGTATGTATGTGTATATGTGTATACAGTATATGTGTATATATTTGTATTATATACATATATACATTGTGTATATATGTGTATGTATGTATGTGCATATATGTATATACATATCTATATTTATATAAATGAATATATATAGAGATTTTTTTCTTTCATGTTCTTCTCTATATGTCCACGCTTTAGTTCAAATTTAAATGAAATGGCCAAACTGATTCTTTTTTTTTTAGTGTCCATTCAACAGTTGCATAAAGCATTATAATTATCTTGAGTTTTTTTTGTTCCTTCTGCATCATATTATACCTGTCCCCGGTCTGACTCACAGCCAGGTTGCCTGTTTACCCCTTCTACATTATCAACAGCTTTACATCCAAAAACAAACTGTGAGCTCTTTTAGAAAGGACGTTGACCTGGTTAGACCACCGGGAAGAACTGAGTGGATTTGAATAGAAATGGATAATGAGGGGAAAGGGGCTGAATAC